ATGTGTGAGGCTGGAAACAACATCCAGTTATCTGGGATATTACAAATAGGAATTTGATCTTTCCCTCACCTGTGCTGATGTGCATATTAAACATCCATTGGGGATGGGTGAGGATCACCTGCCCTGACCTCAGGGTGCCCGAGGGAAAGGTGGGGCTGGCAAGCTGGTGCTTCTCTTTGGCTGAGCCTTGTGGGTCCATTTTTGGAGGCTGGGTGTGATGCAGAGAGCTGCGAAGCTAGTTCTCTTACCTTAAGGTGGGGTGGATAGTAAGCATTTTTAAAAATATATATATCTTCCAGCAATGGCCTCTCATATGAAATGAAATGGATGAGATGGCTGGACAGTGTCTGCGAAGTAACCAACATGAATTTGACACAACTCCGGGAGGCAGTGGAAGATAGGAGGGCCTGGCGTGCTCTGGTCCATGGGGTCACGAAGAGTCGGACATGACTAAATGACTAAACGAACGAAACGATGAAATGAAATATTGCTTCCAAAAAGCAATTTGCTATAGCTGACATTGCTTGTTCAAAGTGTGGGATGGGGTGGGCTCCTGATATCCCAAGGGGTTGATGTTGACTTCTGTGAGGGTTCCAACAGAATACACATGAAAGAGAGGGGTTTCGTCTAACAGTAGAGGCTGAGCTCCATTTATGCATAAGGGATGCATTAGGGGCAACAGCAACTCCTTTTCCTTAAAAGGGTCCCAGTTGCCAAAATTTGCTAGATCAGTGGTTCCCAACATTGGTCCCCAGGTGTTCTTGGACTACAACTCCCGGCACAGCTAGTGGTGAAGGTCTCTGGGAGTTTTAGCGCAAGAACACCCGTAGGTTAACCAAGGTCGGAAACCACTGGGCCATAAAGTTCCTAAACGTCTGCATGTTTGAAAGAGGTGACGGCTGACGTCTTGTTCTCTCTGAGCTTGCTGCACTATGTTCATGACTAGTTATATTTATTAGTTACACATGTCTCCCATCTCTTCTCTTCACTTCCTTCTCACAGTAACTCTGCGAGGTGCCATAGACTGAGAGAGAATGACTGGGATGAGGTTATCTGGCGAGGATCACGGCTGAGATGCAGGGCTAAAAACTGAGTCGTTCGAATCCCCCAGTCCAACACCCTGCTGCACTGCAGGGGGTCTGCTTTATAAGAGCAGTTCTCTTATATATGTGGCTTTCCCCTAAATTTACAAATCAATGTTTGGAAAGTGCACATCTCAAGCAATGCTTGTTTGGCAGCAGCATCCACTGGAGATCTTCTCTCTGTTGCACACACGCACCCTGTTGCCAGAGCGGGGAAAACAGAATGAAGCAAGCAATTTACACAATTGGACTCCCTGCTGAAATCCAAACATTGGAGCATTTGTTATTGCTGTACAGCAAAAACATCCTCTTGCAGCCTAATTCTTCAGGGGATTAATAAGGGTAGGGACTTGGAGCAAAGACCAGCAAAATCCTCCCTCTTCTCTTTCTCCTCCCATGTTGTTCCCCACCTTGGACTTCCTGAATAATATCTTGCCTCCGATTATAATGTGAAGAGTTAAAAGCAGCTAATTCCTATAAGGCTCACAGACTCTCTGATGTTTTGGGCTTGCTCCAAACGTCAGCAGCTTGATCTTGAGTCCTTTGGGGATGCAATTTGACCGGCCTTTTATAGTGCTGCTTTAGCCTTTTATGTTGGCTGGGATGACATAGGGCCAAGTTCTGGTTTCCAGAAAATCTGTCTTCTCTTGTTCATTTGTTTGCTAGCCCTTTCAGTGAGAAGATAAGCTTTAGACAGCATCCTGCACTCTTGGCTGGTACATCTAACTCAACTACTGGGGAGGAGATGACACATATGCATATTGCATTGCCAGTGTACTGTACTTATGTGGCAGTTACTGAACTCCTAGGTTCACATTGTGCAGGAGTATATGATTCCTTCTTTGCCTTTTAAAATATTCAGTGTAGTGCAGTCTGTGTATAAAAGCCATTCATTTCCCTGCTTGTTTTTCCACCGTAAAATCAGCCTTCATGGCTTTTTTAAAATTCAAATCTGGCGAGGAAAGGAGAAATCCCCCCCCCCCGGAGATGAGAAAACAGGTTGAGAGGGGAGAAATTTTGAACAAAGAATGGGTTAAGAAGACTTTTCCCTCTTGCTGCTGTTCTCCTTGAAGGCTGCTTTGGGCTTTAAAACACAGAAAGAAGGAACCTCAGAGCCAATGCATAGCATGAGTTCCAGCTTTTGAAAGTTGCGAGGGATATCTGCAGTTTAGAGATCAGCCTTTAGACATTGGCATAGCCCCTTACTGCTCCCATCTCTTGACTAGAGACTAGTAAATTGCAGTAAATTCTGCAAAACGTTAAAGAAAAATAACAGTCCCCACTAAATTATGCTCATAAAGTTTGCTCTGTTGGCATCATTTGCTCAGGGAGCCTGAGAATGTGGACTTTTTAAAATGCAAAACTGGATTTAGGGTGTGGTTTATAACAGGGATGGAAAAGTGGAGAGCGTCCCAACTCTTTCGACAGGCTGTGCCCCAGACCCTTTTTGTGAAAGTGGACGTTTCCTGAGATGGGTCCTTCTGAAATAAATAAGGTGCGGGGAGGAAGTTACTTTATAGGAGAATCATACAGTCCCATTGCTTGGTGGCTTCAGTCACGATGGTTGTTTTGTTCTTGTCAAAGAATGCTTTTTAAAAGAAACGTTCACAGTAATACAAAAGCTGTGTGACTTTAAAATGGTTTAAAATACATTGGAGCTGTAACCATGTCCCGATTCAACTTCTTTTTGGTTTCAGTATTGCAGGAAAAGGAGAAGAAGTGATGTTCCTTTTTCATGTATATTCTGGTAGCTCTATTTGGTATATGTTTTGGTAAATACAGAAAAGAATGATTCTCACTGGAAAATGATTTTGTGCAAGTTGATTGCTACTACATTAGCCAAGAGACTGATAAGTGTATAGCATAATTAGTTAAAAGAACACTTTCTTTTTATAGAAGGGTGAAGGTGACGTTCCCACTGTACAAATTGCTGATAATGTTGTGCAAATTGGTGCATGCATATAATAACCCCAATTGGAAATGATGTACAGTTCAAGAGCAATAGCTTCATGAAGCATAATTTCTGCTCACCCTTCCTTTACAGCATAGTTGTAGTTGCATCGTTGTAATAATGACCAAACGATTCCAAGCCTGGTGAAACTTTGTGGGAATCCCAGCTATGGCTAAAACCCTGGTTTTGTCCCTTGGTGTCTATGGGCACCTCCCACTTTCACCTCCGGAACATCTTTAAATAACTTTTAAGGGTCAACCATGGAAGGAGCTTTAAAGATAGTTCAGGCTTGATTTGAAAATGGAGTCGAGCCTACACTCTCCTCCCTCCCTCTCCATTCCGTTCCATCCCTGCTGTTGGGATTCTTCATTGCCCCCCACAACGCACGGTGCTATTCATTTATCATTTAGCTGTTTGGGGAGGTTGTTTCCCCTTGTTATTTTTCCTCTTAAGATTGTTTTGTGCCATTTTGACAGCCTTTGAATGAGGATAGGAAAAGTGAAATTGGTATTACTAGGGAGGGTGGAGATAATTGGTTTTGCTTATTCTCCACTGCTTTAGAGGCAGGCAAAAACTATGTTTAATTACATATCTGGAGCATTACATTTCTAGTTTTTCTTGTATGAAGGTCCCTGGTTTGCTGTCTGGCCTCTTCAGTTGACTGATATACCTAGGCGTTCGTGAAGGATTGCCTGCTGCCATGACTCTGTAAACATTTAAAAAAATAATAATAGGCATACCTCTGTGTAGTGCTAATTTGCTCAGGGATCACATGTGCATGTGAGCATCGCAGTTAAATTCTTGCAGGTTTTGGTCATAAGAAAATTCCCTGCTGAACATCTCTGCTAGATGTTGCTATTGACTCTTGCTTTAAAACACAGAAAGAAGGAACCTCAGAGCCAATGGATAACGTGAGTTCCAGCTTTCAAAGACTGCGAGGGAGATCCATAATTTAGAGATAAGCCTTTAGTCATTGGCATAGCCCGGGGGTCTCCAAATTTTGCACAGTGAGGGCCACATAAAATATTTTCCATATTTTCGAGGGCCGAAGGAATGCTCTCATGCACTGCGCTCTTGAAGGCGCTTGTTTTGCTGGCTGTCCCCTTTCTTAGCTCTCAGATATGGGACTTTTCCTCTCGCCATCCAGGGTTCTCTGAAATACTTCATCTAATCAGAGCATCTACTGTTCAAGCCATAACACGGTGGCCTCTGTCACTCACTTAGTGTTACTTAATGCCCTCTGGATTCTGCCTACAGCTCCTTCCTGCTCCTCTGCAGATCAGGATCTTTCTATTTTTAACAGCACTCTTTCTCTTGCCGAGATAGAAGAACTGCTAAACCAATTAAACACATTAGGGGATAACCACTCATGTGGATCTGGTTCAGGATGTCTAATTTCTGCATTGTGTGACATGCTTTAGTACCTGACCTTCTTCCCAGCTAGATAAGCTGTTAGCTAATCTACTAGGCGGGAGGTGCCCTGTCTGCCACTGGTCTCCATCCCCTTCCAAGATTTCTTGTTTTCCCTCCTGAGTGTCACGACCAGATTAGTTGTACCTATTAAACAGGCTCTGTGTTGTTCCTTTTCTCTTTGCAAATGCCGTAATGTTTTTTTAAAAAATGAAATAGAAGTGATGGGCCAACATTTCTCCTGACTTTTATCTACCAAATAGTCTTCTTCTGGACTGTTGAGTCAAGAATCTTGGTGGTGGGGAAGTGAGATACAGAGGGAGAAATCCTTCCATAGAGAGAAGCGATGCCAGGCAAGCAACACTGGCCTCCTGTTATGAATGATCCACCCTGTTTTCAGGCTGCTTGAGAGCAGGATGATGCAGCCCGGTGGCTTTGGGTCTGATGTGAGGAGCTCCTTCCTGAAACAGGAAAAAGCACTGAGCTGTAGAATAAGGGGACTCTGGATAGATTTGAGAAATGTGGTTCCTTTTTTTCCTTAATTGCTGCACAAACAGAAACTGGATGAATCTCCGGGATGCCGAAACAGGGAAAATTCTCTGGCAAGGAACAGAAGACCTTTCCGTCCCCGGAGTAGAGCATGAAGGTATGGTTGGACCAAGATGCGTGTGATGAAATCCCAGCGAGAGGGGGAAAGGACTCTGCAGGGCTAACTGGATTTGTTGCTGGGCATTGAGCTCGGGAGCGGGCAGAGTATGGCCTTTGAGATGACGTTGGGCTGTGTCTCCCCTCGACGCCAGCCAGCAGAGCCAGTGGAATAGAGATGGGCATAAACCTCAGTTCCAGAAGCTTGTGCCAGTTTGTATACATGGTGTACAAACAGGCGCTGTGTGTTCTCATCCCCTGCCTCCCTGGCTAGATTCCCCCCCCCATGCACCAGCTGGCGCACACTCCTCTTCAGCCGTTCAGCGAGTCTCGGGCAGGAGCACGGGCTTCCCTGCCCCGCTTCCTTGGCCGATTGCCCACTCAGACTCCTGCTGGTGGCTGTCCTGCTGGGGACTGGCTGAACAGCCAGAGAGGAGGAGGAGAGGAGCACAGTCCCATTGGTGAGTGGGTCATTGGCTGGGGAGGGGGCAGAAGGCACCATGCGGTGCCAGGCGTACAAACCAGCACCAACCTCCGAACCAAAGTTTGCGCCGGTCACTAGTGGGGAATGAGGGCGGTTGCGGACCAGTCATGTTTGCTGCGCCTTTGTGCCGGTCACTAGTGGGGAATGCGGGTGGTTGCGGACCAGTCATGTTTGCTGCGCCTGACTCTTCCCACTCCTGATCTAGCATCATCAGGATCCACAAAGTTTTGTCAAAGTACAGAGGACGCTAGTGGATTTAATGGAGTGGGGGGGGCCTCTCCTCTTCAGGCAGCCACCCTCCCCATAAGGAAAGTGGTGAAGATGCTGGGGCATTCTCTGCCCCTTCCTTTAGGCTACCTGGAGAGGCTAAGAGAGAATGGGAGGCGGAGGAGAAGGAGGCATTTGAGACGGTCTCGTTTTTACCTTCCTGAAATGGTAAATGAAATGGGGTGTTTTCCCTGTGCGTGGCTGACGGGGAGATTAATAAATGAATGGGGAAATGTGGTTGTATGCTTGGTGAAAGAGGAGGGAGAAAAGGGGTGTCCCCACACAATTGGCTGCCTGCCACTTCCTCCCGTCCTCAAAACAGCCCGTTTCTGTAATGAACAGACAGGAGGTGGCCCTCGGCGTCTGTTTCACTGCATTACAAACAGGCTTGCATGTAGCCAGAAGGAGCGATGAGTTGCTGCCTCCTGGACCACAGCTCCTTCCTACAGCATGTGCCCGACAGAAGGGAAGGGCCGAATTTCACTCTGGAGGCCATGGGGTGGGCGTGGGCCAGAAAGCGATGCCTTGGCAAGGCCCGGTGGTCAAGCGGTCCCATGGCCACCTTCACAGACCACAGCTCCTTCCTACAGCGTGTGCCCGACAGAAGGGAAGGGGCGATATTTCACTCTGGAGGCCATGGGGTGGGCCGTGTGCCAGAAAGCGATGCCTTGGCAAGGCCCAGTGGTCAAGCGGTCCCATGGCCACCTTCACCCACCAGGGGAGAAGAAACACAGCACCATCACAGCATGACAGCAGCAGGGGAGGGGAAAAAAACTTTAGGAGTAACTGTTCCCCACTTTAAACAAGGTGTTTGGGGAACATGTGCTTTGTTTTGATGCCTGATCACCATTCTGCAATGCAGTTTGGTTTACAAACAAGACTGACATTTCCTGTGCACTTCGTTTTAAAGCAAAAGGGCTTGCTTTGAGCTGTGTGCGTATCAGCCATGTTGCAGCACTTTTAAGGAAACAGCAGTGTTTCCTTCCTTCCTTCCCACTTCCCTCCCCTCCCCTTTTCCCTTCCTTTTCCTTCCCTTCCCTTCTGCCTGCTCTTATGCCACCAGCATTCAGCCGCATCTGGGTCTCTTCTTGGAGATCATAAAGTATCTATGAAGAGCTGTGATGGATCAGACCAAAGGCTTCTGTAGTCCAGTGTCCTTTTGAAGAAATCAGGTAACCACATGCTACAAGATGCCCCCTCCCCAGCAGCACAGGAGAGCAACTAGTAGCGAAAGACATGCTGGTGGCCGTAAATAATACATCGCTGTCATGACCCATAGCCTTGGATAGGCTTAATCTTTATGGCAGCCATTGCTAAAGCCTGTGGGGGGAAAACCATTCCATTATTTAATTTTGTGTCGTCCAGAGGACTTCCCTTTCAGTTTCCTGAAATCTCCGATCCTTCACCTTCACTGGAGGACTCCAGTTTCTAGAGACAAGAGGGGAAATAGGCAGGGCTTCTCCCTTCAGCCTTTTTTCACCTAGTAGTACATAATTCCACGCAGCTCTCATATCCCTTCCCTGTTCCGTTTTTGCTATTTTCCAAACCAGCTCCAGCCATGGTGGCCACTATTTGGTTCGGTCCCCTCACTCCTTTTCTCGTCTTGACAATCATTCAGACATGGCAAAACCTTTTGCCCCCAAAGTCCTGCCCAAAAGCAAGCAGGGACCCCCCCAATTCTTATCTCACTTTTAAGGTCTTCCCACCTTTAGCAAACATATTTGTTTGAAGGGGGTTTTAAGTGACAGGGCTATGAATCCAGAACGCCATTGTTTGCTGGTGTCTTTCTTTACTGTCCTCCCAGTTATAATCCAGAATGTTTACACTAAATATCTGAACTAGCTTAACAGACCACCTTGGCAACCTCTTGTTAGCATTGTCTGTTGTGTTTAAACAAGGGCAATTTGCTGCAGAAGTGAAGCAAACGGAGTTACTGAGGTTACATTTTCCCATCTCGGGAGTGAAAAAGAACCTATTCATTGTGGCCCAGTCGTGATGAATGGCTGCTTCTGCTTATTAAACTATGCATTCCGTCCTGCTTCCTTGAGCCTTAATTTGCATTGTTGTTTTGTCAATAAGTCTCTTTATTTCCATTTAATTGTTTGGTTAATTGATCATTTAAAAAGGCAAGTGGATTCTTGAACAATGCTTCATTGCAATACAGAGAGTTCTAATGTAATCTGCAGAGCCCAGCCCTCCCCCATCTGCAGAATTAAAACTGCACATATTCTTAAAGTGTGCTGCTTCTATCCTGCTCCAGAGTACTTAAAGCTCTCTCTGGGCAGTTTACAATTTATTTATGCAATTTAGTACCCATGAGTTGGGTACTCAATTTACTGACCTTGGAAGGATGGAAGGTTGAGTCAAACCAGCTACTTAAGCCCAGGATCGAAGCATTCACTGCAGTACTGCAGTTTAACCACTGTGCTGCAAGGCTTTTGCCCTTTGACACAAGGGTAGGGGCCACTCAGCTATCCTCAGAGTCATCTTCTGGGGACGGCAACGAACTGTCAATTTAGACATATAGAAAAAGCATCCTGCCCTTGAAGCGTGGAGATCCGGCTGGCATAACTGAATTTTAGCTCTCTTGACTCCTGCCAGAAACCTCTGGAATAGTTTGGGCCGGATGAAAAGAGCACCCAGCCTCTGTGAGGAAAAGCTATAAGGTTTGGAGCTATTTAGCTCAGGAGGGAAATGACCCTTGGGGTGGGCAATGAAGAGGGGCACCAAATTCTGGGTGGCCTGGAGAAGATGGATGGAAAGCTTCTCTCCAGCTCTCACCATCTTAGAATCCAACAGGGCTCTCCTTTGGGGCTGAAGTGTGGAAGATCCAGGGCAAAAAACCAGAAGCGTTGCTTCCTAGGAATTCCCTGCTAGGGATTCCCATGATCGTGGCCGACATGGTCATGGACAGCTTTGTAGAAAGAGACTGGATAAATTCACGGCGGACGAGACCGTCTGTAGCTACTTGTTAGGGTGGCTATAAATCCCCTGTGGTCCCAGAGACCACTGGAGACTTGAGGTGGGAGGCGCCGTTGCATTTTCGCCTTGCAGGCGAGGTCCCTGTGGGCATATATGGCTGGCCACCGTGACAATAAAGCGTCGGACTAGAGCGCCCTTTGGTCTCCTCCAGCCCAGTTCTTCGTAACCGTGCCCAAAGCTCAGGTTCGTTCGGTGAATATTGTCGCTAAGCCGGGATTTGTGTGCTGGTTGTCCCTGGCTAAAGTCCCGCTCACGGTCCACTGCCGTGAAGGGTTGAAGGCAAGTCACCCTCTAATAGAGAGCCCCTGGCCCGTCCCTGGTGGGCCAGGGAATTCTTGGAAGGGAAGACTGGAACTCCGTCAGCCTCGCCTTGATCTCTTTGTCGCGTTGAACTCTGTTTTAGTCATGCTTTTACCTAATGTCCTAAATGTAATGTTCTTTTTGAATATTTGAATTGCTTCTTGTTTTTGACTTTTAATCTTGCGTCTTTAATAATGTAAGACACCTTGGGCCCTTTTTAAAGGAGGGTTTATATATTATAGATAGATAAATAGATAGAGAGATAGAGAGATATAAAATAAAGTAAAATAAAAAAAAATCTAAGCACCCAGGCCCCTCCCTTTCCTCACCTGAGAAGTCTCCAGAGAGGTAGCTGTGTTAGTACATTAGAATAAAAACCATCGGG